CTGGTGGAGCAGCTCCCTGCAGGGCCTGAAGGACAGGTACCTGGGTGAGGCACCCCAAATGGGGGTGGACCCCCTCCCCTGTTGCTGTTGGGCAGAGGGAAGGGAAACTGGGAGCTGAGGAGGAATGGAGACAGGTCCCTGCTCGACCTCGCAAGCAATGCCCCCCCCCCACCGGCCCTACCGGCCCCACCTTCCCAGGTGCCCTTATGCAACAGGTTTGAGGCCCTGGAGCTTGAGAGACTGGTGGATGAGGATGAGGCAGAAAGTCTACCCAGGAGGATGCCTAGGGCGAGGAAGTCAACTCCATGCCTCAAGACTGCCTCCACCAGGACAGAAAGAAGGGTGATTGTTGTGGGTGACTCCCTTCTCAAGGGAACAGAGGGCCCTATTTGTCGGCCTGACCCTACCCATAGGGAAGTCTGCTGCCTCCCTGGGGTCAGGGTCAGGGACATTGCCAGAAAGCTTCCCAACCTGGTTTGCCCCTCTGATTACTATCCTCTTTTGATAGTCCAGGCTGGCAGTGATAATATTGAAGAGAGAAGCCTGAAGGCTATCAAACAGGACTTTAGGGGACTGGGACAGGTAGTGGATGGAGCGGGAGTACAGGTGGTGTTTTTGTCCATCCCTACGGTGGCAGGGAGGGGTACAGAGAGGACACCGAAAGCCCACCTGATAAACACGTGGCTCAGAGGCTGCTGCCAACACAGAAATTTTGTTTTTTTTGACCATGGGGCGCTTTACTCGGCACCCAGCCTGATGGCTGCAGACAAGTCCCACCTATCTCTAAGGGAAAATGGATCCTAGCCCAGGAGCTGTTGGGGCTCATTGAGAGGGCTTTAAACTAGGTAAGAAGGGGGATGGGGCTGAAACAAGGCTTGTTAGAGCTGTGCCAGGGGGAGCAATGGCAAGGCCAGGGGAGAAGGCAATGGCCCAGCTGAAGTGCATCTACACTAATGCATGCAGCATGGGTAACAAACAGGAGGAGCTGGAAGCCATCGTGCAGCAGTCAGGCTACGACTTGGTTGTCATCACGGAGACGTGGTGGGACCACTCTCATGACTGGAGTGCTGCAATATCTGGCTATAAGCTCTTCAGAAGGGACAGGCAGCACAGAAGGAGTGGTGGTGTGGCTCTCTATATCAGAGAGATTTTTGATGTCATGGAACTTGAGGCTGGGAATAAGGTTGAGTCCCTTTGGGTTAGGATCGGAGGGAAGGCCAAGGCAAGCATCCAGGAGGAGGAGACTGATGAGGAGTTCTACAGGCAGCTGACAGAAGTTGTGAAATCGTCAGCGCTTGTTCTCGTGGGGGACTTCAACTTCCCAGATATATCCTGGAAGCACAACACAGCCCAGAGAAAGCAGTCTAGGAGGTTTCTGGAGAGCGTGGAAGATAGCTTCCTGACGCAGCTGATTAGTGAACCTACCAGGGGAGGTGCCCCGCTAGACCTTCTCTTCACAAACAGAGAAGGACTGGTGGAGGATGTGATTGTCGGGAGCTGTCTTGGGCAGAGTGACCACGAAATGGTGGAGTTCACTATTCTTGGCGAGGCCAGGAAGGGAACCAGTAAAACCGCTGTATTGGACTTCCGGAGGGCTGACTTTGTGCTGCTGAGGACACTGGTTGGTAGAGTCCCTTGGGAGGTGGTTCTGAAGGGCAGAGGAGTCCAGGAAGGCTGGGCGCTCTTCAAGAGGGAAATCTTAATGGCGCAGGAGCGGTCTGTCCCCACGTGCCCAAAGACGAGCTGGCAGGGAAGAAGACCGGCCTGGCTGAACAGAGAATTGTGGCTTGAGCTTAGGAGAAAAAAGAGGGTTTATAATCTTTGCAAAAGTAGGCAGGCCACTAGGGAGGACTATACGGATGTTGCAAGTCTGTTCAGGGACAAAATTAGACAGGCCAAAGCTCATCTGGAGCTCAATCTGGCTACTGCCGTTAAAGATAACAAAAAATGTTTTTACAAATGCATAAACACGAAAAGAGGATTGATTCTGAGTATTTCTGGTGGGGCTTGTATACGTAAGGATTTTGATTCAGCAATTAACACCACTTTGAGGAGTGAACCATACAGGCACTAGCCAGCAGCACAATCTTACCTTGAGATGTGAGTCCCAGCTGCAGAACTGGTAAACCTTGCTTTAAGCTAGGTGCCTGCTTTCACTGCAGTCAGTGCCTATCCCTGCTAAACAGCCAGTGGGTTTTACAGTGTGATTCGTTTGTGCACAGCTAGCAGTGTCCCCCCCCCCACCCCCCACAAAAAAAAAAAAAAAAAAAGAGAAAAATTACATTCTATACTCCACGGAGTGTATTGGCTAGACCTCTATTGATTATTTTAAGATCCCAAGGTGATTTGCTCACAAATGGATGCCTGTGTAGACACACTCTAAATGTATGTGTTTAGCCAGTAGGAGGTACTTTGCAACAGGACCAGTCACAAGAGTAGAAATCAAAGTTCACAGGCAAGTTATGTTCTCCAAAGACATGATATAAGCAATTGTGCAGCTGCAGCCAACTCAGCTTTGATATTTGGTATCTGTATCTATATTAGTAACATAAACGTACCTGGCACTTTTCTCGAGCACTGGTGCCAGCTGACACAGAATGGTCCACACCCTAACTATTAAATCCTGTTACTTTCCAGAATATCATGGCAACCTCCAAGCGAACTACTGAAAACAGCTTCTGTCCTGTGCTAATATTCATGCTGCGTCCAGGAATTGTTTGGAGTTAGGCATCAGCCAAACTATGTCAAGAACCTTTCTAAAAATTCAATGGTATAGATGATTGGGCTTCAGTTTCTCTGAGCTTCCCTGGCACATTTTTAGTTTACTGTTAGGGCTGATGGGTCTTGGACAGCAGTATTAACAGTCCAGAGGTGATTTTAAAAAGAACTGTCTTTCACTGCAGCTATATTCAAGGATGTGAGATAGCTAGACAGCAAATTTCAAGTTGAAGATCAAATAAAGCATTTCCAAAGGAGCTGCCAACAGTATTTAAAGACTGAATCAACTCAGGTGAAATCAGGAAGTGCTTAGTTTATTCCTTTGCTGAGACCAAATCACAGGGCCTTGTTGACTGATAGATTATTCAACTAGTCAGATGTAAACTGAGAACATTACCAGGTGCTTACTGGCTAAAAAGTAATTGCAAATGCAGATCCATTGCCATTTAATAATACGTAGGCTCATTATTCACCATAACTCTCTAGTTTTCTGTCTAGAGATTGATGACTGCCATGAGGCTCAAGCAACACTTCTGCTCATACCTTCAGAGCTGCAGTGTTGGTACCTCCTCATCCAGGTGTCTGGCAGGATAACTGTGTGGAGAGCCAGTTACCTGGAGCTTCGGCTTCAAGAGGGGAGGATGAGGAGGGATGCCTGTTTATTTCATGGGCCTCCCTCTTAAAACCACATCTGCCACACTTAATAAACCTGTTGTCTCAATCTGAGGCTGACATCATAGGTTTTATGACCTCTCATAAACCTTTGTTATAAGCCAAAGGCAGGGAGTACAGCTTTAATGCAAGAGTGAGGTGGTTTGTTTTCGTTTGTGTGTGTGTCTTTTCCAAACAAAAGCCATCCTGTGTCACGTGCGAGCCTTGCTTTCGAGGAGGAACTAGACCAGAGAGGAGGTGCTGCTGAATGAAGTCACAGAACAGCCCAAGGCTGTAAACCATGTCCGGTGCTGTTGTCAGGAGCAGGTGTATACCTGGCAGCAAATGCTTAGCATTATCTTTTTGAGGGGCTCTAAAGCTGTCTCTTCATTTCAGCCTGTCTGTCTAGAGACACTGGGTTTCTGGGGATGATTTGTGCTGCTGGGGCTGATTTGTGCTGCCAGAGCTTTGCAGGGGTGGGAAAACAGATGGCTTTGTCTAGACTGTAGGCTTGTCCAGGCTAGACTTACCCAGAGTTTTTGCTCAGAAATATTTTTGGCGAACAAGGAAATTTCTGGCAAAGGTAGCACAGGCAATTCTTGTACAATGTGATGGCCCCCTGTCTCAGTCATATCTCAGTCTCCTGGTCACTCCAGCTACAGTCATGTACAGTATGTGCAAACAAGGTCTCCTCCTGGAGCGAACATAAGAAAAAAAAAAAAAAAAAAAGAAATTACAAAACATTCCTCAAAGCTGAATGAGCTAGATGCATTGCATCTAGCTTGGTTCTGAGCTATCTTGCCTCTTCTGATCCTCTTCCACTGAGACAAAGAATGAGTGGCCTGTAGGTACAATATTCAATCACTATAGGTGCTTCTATTGCTGGATGGAGTACATGGCTGATTAGATGGTGTGCTGGCAAGGTATGAAACTAATTACAGAAACCATGTTAGGAAAGCACTAGTGTTCATATTTCTCAACTGCAGCATCAACATAAAGTAAAGGTCTACAGTAATTGCCAGTTAATAAAGCTCCTCATATTCTTATGTGGCCAACAATCAAACTATTCGTGCCAATGAATACCATAATGGAGAGCTTATTAAATTCACATTTTGCTTATATTGCCATAATAAGGAGGTAGCAGTAGGTATATCAGGTTCCCTTCATTTTGAATATTGGAAGGCAAAGGAAAGGTTATGTTGGGGAGTGAAGGAGGGTCCAGAAAGAGACATTACCCAGTCACAATGGAGGAAAAAAGAACAAGATAGAGAACAAGTGCCTTGAGACCATGCATCACATCTGCTCTAGGGTGATCCAAATCTTCCGTGTGCTGGTACTGTGGCACCAGGCTTTGGATCCCCATGCTTCACATAGTCTCGTGTCTGAACTGGTACTCAGACCAGGCACAGCATCCTGGGACACTGATCTGTAACAACCCCTCCTACTCTCTGTCCCCCATTGTCAACCATCCTCTCCTCACTTTCCTGCCTGCCCACCCTCCTACCTGCTCACTTACTCCCTCCCACCACCCTCACCCTCTACCCCATGTTAATTCTCAGTGGTAGTTGCATGTACATGCTTTGGCCCCCTTCAGCTCATTAAGCCCTCTGCCTTGCCTCATGTTTTGACAGGTTTTGTGAGTTTTGACAATCCTGACAGTGCCCAAGCTGCCATCCAGGCTATGAACGGCTTCCAGATTGGCATGAAGAGGCTGAAGGTGCAGCTGAAGAGGCCAAAGGACGCTAATCGTCCCTACTGAAGGGTTGTGGGAACCACTGGATACAAAGCACTAGCACAGGTATCTGCATGGGGAAGGGGATGTCAGCTGTGATTGTAGCCTCTCCTTTGTGCTGTAGACCCTTAAAAAGATTCAGCTCTGCAACTCTCTGGCTTCTGCCTTTTCCACTTAGGCCTCTGGCTAGAGCCACACCACACAGACACCTACCTACACATAAACCAGAAACTGTCTGTGCCTCATTAGAAAGAGAGATGGAAGGATGCTTAACAACAGTTCCCCACCCCAGTAGCATCCTGCATCTCTCCAAATTCTTCCTGGTCACTAGAGGGGAGGCAGCAGCTGTCCTAATTCCCCTTGCTCAGCCAAAGGCAGCATTTCTAGTGACTGAAGAAAATCAGCAATTAAGCGATGGGACTGGGCTGCAGTTTAATTCCAGGTAACAGGACTGTGACAGTGTCTGTCTCAATAGCTCTGTGTTGCAAATGTTTCAAAGCATTCTTCATTCTTCATGCAGTATAGTCTGTATCCAATTTCATCCCAGCATAATAACTATATGTAAATATGTCTCCGTGACAACTAAATAACACCTGTTTCCAAGCCCAATGAATTAATAGGAGGATCCATGCTGTCATCTTATTCAGTTGCTGTTAACTTCTGTGTATAGATAAAACCCAAACAAAGCCAAGGAAGCTTTGCTTGAGTGAGGACCTAGACGTATCTGAATGAGGGTCTCATTGTAAGACTCAAGTGCTTTGTGTTGTTGAAAAGGAGACAGCTTAATGCTACAAGTAAACTTTGAATACATGTAACAGTGTCAAAAATATCAGAAGAAGCAGCTTGTTTCATTGGTATTCCAGCCTATTAGCAACAACAACAATAGAGATGTTTCCAAAAATGGAAACATTTTCCACTACTGACTGGCCTTTCCATTAGATAATCCCTAGAGAAATTAAATATATAAAATGTATGTGTTTGTTGCAGGGATGGCAAGTCTCTGCTGTTAAAACCATTACATACCAGAGATTCTCCAATAAACCCAGCACTTAGGGTCACCCTAAGTTGCAACAAGCAGTTTGCATTCCTAAGTTAGTGACAGAGAGATGGGTTAGGTAAGTTTCCTAGGCCATTATGACCATAACATCTAAGATTCAGTGATTTTTGACGCACCTAAGGTTCAGGCAGAAAGTCCCCTTCTTCAACCCTCCCATAGAACTATGAAGTGATCTAGTTTTTCACTGGTATCTCTAATATCTTTGAAAATACCTTATTGTGGTCTGCAGAGCAGTATCCTTTCTATTGAGAATTAAGGAATGGGATTAAAATGTCTTTGAAAGAGGTGCTGCACTGAACAAAACATGGAGCAGACTAAGAAAACTTCCAATAAATGTATTAGGTGCATGTGCTAATTTCAAAGGGGCTTTTAGTATCTCTCTGGCAATAATGACTCAAGATACAACTGACATGGTCCAAAATCTCCATTATATGTGACTATACGAAGATAATTTTCACTGCATTTTCCCTCTTCACATACCTCTTTTCTTTTCCTTGCTTATGACAAGGCCTCTTGGAAGCTTGAAACCAAAATACGTTTCCATATCAAAATGCTTTTTGCTTCATCACACTGGCTTTTTTTTACTGCAGGTTTTGCTCAGAAGTGTTGGGAGAGAGCGGGAGATGCATGCATGCTATTTTGTTAAAGCAGGGACTGTCTTTGTTGGGGAGATTTTCAATAACACCTGCAAAGGCATGAAGGAACACATGTATCTCCCTAGTTGTTTGGCACCAAGCAATAGCTTTATATTGTAGTGTAACTGTGAATGCTGAGGATATGCTTGTTTCTTATGGCTGTGTAAGAAAGTGCAGGGCTGTAGACTCCAGTGTTGCTAAAGACCATGGGTATGAGTCTGTGGTATTTTCCTTATCATGGATCATCATGAAGTGTTCTAGGTCTAGCTTTTCATAACCAGGCTGACTTTTAGGTCTTAGTTTGTTTCCTCCCAAAGAATCACTCAGTAGTTTTTGTGGTTTTGGTTTGGTTTGGGTTTTTGCATCTAATAAAAGGGATTAGCCAAGTATATGTGGCCCCTGGAGGGCACTTAAGGAGTGTATATAGCCCAAGGAAGGTTCTGATTTAGCATAGGAGGTTGTCAGGTCAGACTGAAGAGGACATTTAGTGAAGGGCAAGGGTAGTCAAAACCTCAGAAGGACTTAGATCCAGATCTCTCTTCATCTTATTTGTTTTCCAGTGCTAGGAGACATCTATACCAGCACCCTAGAAGAAAACACAGGGTTTTTAGTCATGATGGCTCAATACAAGGCAGTTTACGGCCAGGGCACAGGGCTAACCCCTCAATAATTAGCCCTACTTAGAGATAGATCAGTTGTCCTTGGCTCAGCACTGTGTTATTGTACCCCATGGCTGGTTTCATGTGCAACCTCTAGTCAGCCACCAAAATACCACTGGGAGTCTCTGACACACCTACTCAGTAGACAGTAACATTAATACAACAATAAGTTTCCTAAAAACACTAAAGTAAAAGCCAGCTAGATCCATAGGCACAGATATCTACTGCAAGGCTAGGAAGCAGGTAGCTCCTTTAACTGTCAGAAACACAATAACTCCTGTATGGTTTTTATCTTCTTTTACTTTGGTCACAGCTCTTCAGTCCTTAGTTCCAATCTGAAGCATGTGATTAACCATACTGATATCAGGGCAATTACTCATGTGTTTCAAGAGTATGCTTAAGAAACTTTTTCATTGAGGATTTTCTAAGGAAAAGCTTTGTTTTATCAAAGTCCTTTCCAAAAATAAGAAGCTGCCAACAAAATCACAGGCCACACCCAGTTTGATGTAATCGACCAGACTGTTTTTTCTCAACCAAGAAAGAAAGCTATTTGCTCCATTTTAATTCTGTATGCACTTTTTTAAAACTTATAAATCTCCTTTTTGGGACACAAGCAGTCTAGGCCACAGTGATTCGAAGTCTTTTGTTTTCCTTGCAAGTGCTCTAAAGTTGCTGTCAAACACTGAAAGGGTCACTGTGATGTGGCAGATAAGTCCACAAGTTGCATCAAGCAAAGCCCTGAAGAATTCAGAGGGCAAAACATCTCCACTCACCATTAGACTTTTGCACTGCCCATATCAGAGAATCACAGAATCATTTAGGTTGCAACAGACATCCAAGATCACAAGCCCAACCTCCGACCTAACATTAACAAGTCCTCCACTAAACCATATCACTAACCTATAGATCTAAACGTCTTTTAAAGACCTCCAGGGATGGTGACTCCACCACCTCCCTGGGCAGCCCATTCCAATGCCTAACAACCCTCCCAGTAAAGAAGTTCTTCCTAATATCCAACCTAAACCTCCCCTGGTGCAACTTTAGCCCATTCCCCCTCATCCTATCGCCAGGCACGTGGAGGAATAGACTAATCCCCGCCTTGCTACAGCCTCCTTTAAGGTATCTGTAAAGAGCAATAAGGTCGCCCCTGAGCCTCCTCTTCTCCAGGCTGAACAAGCCCAGCTCCCTCAGCTGCTCCTCATAAGACTTGTTCTCCAGACCCCCTTCTCTGGACTCTCTCGAGCACCTCGATGTCCTTCTTGTAGCGAGGGGCCCAAAACTGAACACAGTACTCGAGGTGCGGCCTCACCAGAGCCGAGTACAGGGGGACGATCACTTCCCTAGACCTGCTGGCCACACTGCTTCTTATACAAGCCAGGATGCCGTTGGCCTTCTTGGCCACCTGAGCACACTGCTGGCTCATATTCAGCCGACTATCAACCATCGCTCCCAGGTCCTTCCCCGCCAGGCAGCTTTCCAACCATTCATCTTCTAGCCGGTAGCTCTGCCTGGGGTTGTTGCGCCCCAGGTGCAGGACCCGGCACTTGGCCTTGTTGAACTTCATACAGTTAACCTCAGCCCATCAGTCCAGCCTATCCAGATCCTCCTGCAGAGCCTTCCTACCCTCAAGCAGATCAACACACGCACCTAACTTGGTGTCATCTGCGAACTTACTGAGGGTGCACTCAATGCCCTCATCCAGATCATCGATGAAGATATTAAAAAGAACTGGCCTAGTACTGAGCCCTTAGGGACGCCACTAGTGACCGGCTTCAGCTGGACTTGACTCTTTACCACGACTCTTTGGGCCCGGCTATCCAGCCAGTTTCTAACCCAACGAAGCGTGCGCCAGTCCAAGCCTAGGGCAGCCAGTTTCTTGAGGAGAATGCTCTGGGAGACGGTGTCAAAAGCATAACTGAAGTCAAGGTAGATCACATCCACAGCCTTTCCCTCATCCACCCAGCGTGTCATTTTGTCATAGAAGGAGATCAGGTTCGTCAAGCAGGACCTGCCTTTCATAAACCCATGCTGACTGGGCCTGATCGCCTGCTTGCCCTGCAAGTGCTGCGTGATGACTCCCAAGAGGATCTGCTCCATGAGCTTCCCTGGTACTGAGGTCAAACTGACAGGCCTATAGCTCCCTGGGTCTACCCTCCGGCCCTTCTTGTAGATGGGCGTCACGTTTGCTAGCCACCAGTCAACTGGGACCTCCCCCAATAGCCAGGACTGCTGATAAATGATGGATAGTGGCTTGGCCAGCTCCTCTGCCAATTCTCTCAGTACCCTTGGGTGGATCCCATCCGGCCCCATCGACTTGCATACATAGAATCATAGAATATCCTGAGTTGGAAGGGACCCTTAAGGATCATCAAGTCCAACTCTTGACACCGCACAGGTCTACCCAAAAGTTCAGACCATGTGACTAAGTGCACAGTCCAATCTCTTCTTAAATTCAGACAGGCTCGGTGCAGTGACCACTTCCCTGGGGAGCCTGTTCCAGTGTGCAACCACCCTCTCTGTGAAGAACCCCCTCCTGATGTCAAGCCTAAATTTCCCCTGCCTCAGCTTAACCCCGTTCCCGCGGGTCCTGTCGCTGGTGTTAATGGAGAAAAGGTCTCCTGCCTCTCGACACCCCCTTACGAGGAAGTTGTAGACTGCGATGAGGTCTCCCCTCAG